CGTACATGCCAAATTGGCAGTGTCAATAAAGTTAAATACTGTGAGAAATGGTTCTCGTATTTTATAGACAATTTAAAAGGATTTCTAACAGGTACATTTTTTGTTTTAATCACTTGATGTAATTTCACTAGTATGCGGCGTTAAGTTATAGCAAACCTGAATACAACTCGTTCCGCTTGAATATCTTTTAAATGCCACTTTAAATAGTCCTTTGAATTTGTCCATACCAGAAGATATATGATTACCGAAAATTGATTGAAAAAAAGTTGCGATTGTGTTTCAAAAACAAACAAAAAAACATGTTTGAATACCACTTGTTCCAATAGTTCTCTTCTACGTAGTTTTTAATAAGCGTAAAGAATATAAATTTCCACAATAAAAGAATGAATAGGTATATTGCTTTGGTTGAAATCCAACCACACATTTAACCGTTGGGTATAGTAAAATAGTAATGGAACTTCAAACAAAATTCCCATGTAATGGCAGATTTCTTTTTCTTCTTCTTTCTTTGTCTTTTAGAAATAGTTTTCCTGCTTTTTGTTTAGGATAGAGTTGTTCCATCAAATGATAGTACAAATCGTTGATTGCTTCCACAAATCTTTGTTATAAGAAATGACGCCATTCCTTCATAAACAGTGTCAAACGATATGTGAGAAACAACAAGAAAGTTAATCCTTAATGAAATGTGATATAGTGAACTAAATTTAAAATATAAACTATTTTTGTTCAGGTTCTTTTGTGTCTCCGCATTTCTCTTCGTTGTGTTCATGCGTGCACGGTGCCAGCTAAACAAATGGCCAAGTATTTCAAAGAGAATTTTTGCAAGAATTCCAGATGCTGAATGCTTTCATCCATCCATTAATCCTTTGATTTATATATTTCATTTGTACAGATAGTCGGTGTGCACATTTAGTTACATACACACACATTTTATTTTATCAACATTATAACGTAAAAGTATAAAAATCATGAAATTTGTGATGCATAACTCTGAAGTTGCTAATGTCGGCAGTTTTGTGAGTATGATGTTCGTAAATCGGGTTTAAAAACGAAGCAAACTGTGCTGTGTACCAAAATGTCCTGAAATACAATGATCGATGTATGCGTAGAGTAGAGCATATGCATTTTTGACAAAAAAAGGAGAAAATAAGTACAAAAATACCTAAAAAACAATTGCGGTTAATATTTAATGGATTGCGTTAAAATATGCTATTGCGTGCATGCGCTATATATATACAGATTTTCAAGCGTTGCATTTAAAATTTTACGCAAACTGATTATCAATTTTCAGACGGTTTATATTTTTGAACATTAGTTATGTTGATTTAGTTGGCTAACTCCTTGAATGATTTAAAACGCAATCAAATCAAAAACAGTTATAGTTTTTGTACCTGATTAAACGATTTCTTTGAACATCATCGGTGTCCAATAATATGCACCAGCAAAATTATATATGCTGTATTTGTCTAAACAATATTTGGGCATTGATTTAGCCCTTCAAGTTATCAACAATCAATATTTAGATATGTGTTGAAATCGTTATTCAAGAGTGTCGACGTAATGTGAATGCAAACACGACGTATCAATAAATAACGCTGAGATAGAGATTTTTTTTTCATTTTAGTTAGTATTGAATATTTTATGTCTTTGGAATGTGAAAAAAAGGGAAATTTAAAACAGTTTCTGTTACATTATCGGTTTGCTATTTCAACAATAATCATACAATATAAATCAAAAGCTGAAACAATTCGAATGTTGTGTGTGGTTTTTTGTTGTGGTGAAAAAGACCTCGACATCGATTGGCCTCTCCCGCATACATATTTTCCATGTGAACACATTTATCCCTTTATGCACACAGGACGAATTTTCATAAACGCGTAATCACAGCACGGAAGAACAGAATTGCAGCACAATCTATTGACATTTATATAAATGGGCAAACTCGCGTTTTTGTGCTCTGCTTTATTTAAAAAGAGGAAGAAATGAGCCAGCGGTCATGATCCATTTTTCTTTTATTTTCAAGTAAAACATACGTTGCATCGAATGGGGTCAAACTTCATTTATTTATTACTTTATTTTCTTTTTGTTTATGCATTCTTTAAAAGCAACGTTTTTATGCTTGACTAAACACGCACTAACCGTTTCTTCACTTTGTTCTTACAACAAAAATAATTTATGATTTGTTGTTCTTGCATTGGCTGTTGCCCAAAACAAAATTCAATGTTCTATCGTTTTAACTGGAGTCGCATTTATTTCAACAATGAAAAGCACGCGCGACGTTTAGTTTATTGATTGCAGAATTTTTGTAAGAGCCGTTATTTTAACTCAACAATAACATGGATTTTAGACGTTTTGTCAAGTTCTTCTTCATCTGGGAGTGTTACAATTTTTCCATGGACTTGCAATTGAGAGCTGCATAAATTATTCCCAATGCAAATCAATCGAAGTGGAAATGCCATTTTATCAGTGTATAATCAAACCAATATTAAAAAAATGATTGAAAAAATAATCCGAATGAAAGGAAAAATTCAAACAATTGAAATAAAACATAAGAAATCTTATTATTATGAAATAGAAAAATTAAATGTTAATACAAAAAAAAGAACTTATAATTAATCGCAGATTTCATTCAGAGATAATAACTATATCAGCAACTGACAACTACTTGTATAGATACATTGAAAGAAGAAAAGATGAAATTACAGAGAATGCATAAAAAAGTACTTGAAAACACTTAAACTACCCGAAAGTTTGGAACAAGAACCAAACCTTAGTTTGAAATCAAGAAATAGAACTTTCAACACTTTTTATATTCTTTTAAATTTAAAATTGATGTTTAAAATCTCCTTATATTATATTCAATTCAGTAAAAAAAACACTGACTGAAACTAAAACGTTAATTGACACTGATGTTCTGAAGTTCAGAATCTGAACCAATAGATAATTCTTCGCAATCAATTGACGATTCGAATTTAGCGAAAATTGTTCGCTAAAGTTAAAGTAATGCTCACGCTTAGAGATCAACAACTAAAGTTTACTCACATAAAGATCTTTCCTTAAATAAATATACAATTTATTCATGATTTTGTGAAGTGTTTTTCGTTCAATATTGAATCTTTTTTACCGAATAAACACTGTAAACTCTCTACCGAAATAACATGCAACGACATACGCCACAACGAACAAATATTATACATATGAAGGTTTTCGGAGTTTCTATATCCAAAATGATGCCAAAATAATGTATTGTCATTGTGTGATAGTTTGTTTATATTCTTTGGGAATGTTTATTTGAAGCAATAAACTAGAATCTAAAAAAAGAAACGAAAAGAGTTAAAATGCCATAAAAATCAATCCGTTATGGTGCGCATAGTAATGATGCGTTTTACTGAATTTGATTACATATTCAGAGTGGGTATATGACATGTATACAAGGCGCGAACTCTTTCATCAACGACGTGACAAACACCATTGTTTCTACATATGAAACAAAAGTAGTATAAAGAGAATATATCATAATCTAAATGGTATGCAATGAGTGTTGCTTAAGTTGTTTGGATTCGCTATCATGAGCGAATTTTTGAAACATTTTGAACTATAGCGCGGATCAAAATGAAAGCTCACCATCTAAAAAGAACTATTTTTTCATTTCTTTCGTTTCTTTTTGTGTATGGAGAGAAAGAAAATGGAAAATGTAGACAAACTCTGATTATTATACAGACACAGTGGTTTTTGTCTCACACACGTAGTGTAATGTATTGTGGATAGTTTTATGGTGACAAAATAATACCAAATAATAATTTGGATACTCGTTTTCTTTACTGTTATTTATGTTGAAGTATAACGCACGGTAAGTCAATGGTTTGGAAAAATCAAACGCGCTATGTTCGTTGACTTCGATATGTACGATGTAAAAAATTGGGTTGTTTCCTTTTGCGTTGAACAAATATTTGCCGGCAGAGATGTATACATCGATTATTTTACATCTTATTCGATGATGCTATGTAACATTCGACAGGATGCAATAATCTAATGCGGAAAATCTCGATTTAGATGATAATGAAAAATTTGGATAGGTAGTCAATTTCCGGTCGATGTCAACTTTCGAAAAATCGTATATACTACTAAAATGTACAAATTATGTGCAATTATGTACAACAATTATTATGATTATGTACCAACAAAAAAAATTCAGAATTTGGCTTTTTAAAAATTGAAAACATCAAAACCCGGAAAATGTTTACCCGAAATTCGTACACCACCAAAGTATACGTCGTTAAAATGTACAAAATATGTTCTATTCAAATCAACCATCAGATTTGAGAAATTTTTATCGAGTCACTATCTGGAGCCAAAAGTTCAAAAATCAAAAAAGTTCTACTCAAATTTCACCCATCCCAATTTTTATAGCAGTTTTCGAATTCGCCGCGAATTGCCAACTTTTTAATTATTCATATTATTATAACAAAGTATATTGTAGAAAATGTACAAAATATGTACAATTCAAATCTGTAATTAGATTTGAAAAATTTCAATCGGGTCACTCTCTGCGGCAAAAAGTTCCAAAAACGAAAAAGGTCAATTTACGGATTTATTTTTTCAAATTTCGTACACCTCCAAAGTATACGTCGTTAAAATGTACAAAATATGTACAATACAATCCAAATTTGTAATTATATTTGACAAATTTCAATCGGGTAAGAAAAAATTCACCCATCCAAATTTTTATAGCAGTTTTCGAATTGGCCGCGAATGGCCAACTTTTTAATTATTCATATTATTATAACAAAGTATATTGTAGAAAAATGTACAAAATATGTACAATTCAAAACTCTAATTAGATTTCACAAATTTCAGTCGGGTAGGAAGAAATTCACCCATCCTAATTTTTATAGCAGTTTTCCAATTAAACTGAATTTATAATGTACAATTCAAATCTGATTTTGTACAATCCAAAAAAATTTAAATATCAATTTGGACGTTGAGATGCCTTTCTATGCCGCTCCTTCAACAACTTCATATTTGTGTCTGTTGCAGGTGTTAAGTGGTTGCGATGGATCTAAAATCGGGAATTTATCTTGTCGCGCCAAATATAAAAAATGTTAGCTGTGAGCACGAACGTTACACTCATCCACTTTACTACTATATCGGTCCATTAGATGTTATACAAGCCTTAATTATATTCTTGCTAACGATAGGAATTATCGGAGCTAATTTCATGCTAATTGTTGTAATAAATCATCGCCGTTATTCGCCGTATATCGATCCACAGGTAAGAGAAAATTCATTCAATTTAACATAGATGATTGTTTGTTCTTGTGAACAAATTTGCGTTGACAGTTCACTTTCACATTGAACTAAGTACAATTTTACATTGTTCGAAATTTATATACTAAGCGCTACGTTTGAAGTAATGAAAAAAAATAATATTTGATTCATAGTACAACTAAGTGTATTTTCGATAGTTTTAGTTCGGGTTTGCGAATTAAAAGCACCGAAAAAATGTGATAATTACATTTGAAAATGACACAACGGCGCCTTTATTTACAACTACAAAAACAAAAAGATAGATAATTGAACATTACGCAGAGTCAAAATGGCGCTGTTTTTTTTATATACGACATACATGCTCGTGTTTATATGAAAAACACGAATTCATTGAATTATTTTCAAGTTTTATCCAAAAATGCAATTGCATTAAAATGGCACAATGCATTTCTGAAATATTTTTTTCATGTCCATTAAAATTTACTGCGACATTTATTTATTAAAAAAAAAACATTATTATATATATTTATCTTCTTCAAATGTAATTTTTGTTTAATATATTTTTTCATCAATGAACGAAACGCTTGCAGCCGCGTTATCTATTGACATCATTAGCATTAAATGACTTTGCGATCGGAATATTAATCACACCGTTGGGTATTTTACCCGCACTTTTTCACTGTTGGCCTTTTGGTGAAATATTCTGTCAAATACAGGTAATTTTAATTTTTACAAAGATCTTTTAGTAGTCTTTGAAAGATGACAATGTATTACTGTTTAGAATCAATCACCGACGTGATGCCGACGTCGTACAGTGAACTAGTGAAAATAACTAGCTCTTCTTATAAACTTTTAAGTTCTTGGTTCTGTTATAAAAGCACATACAGTAACAATTGACCAATTTTTAAAAAAAATCATTAGTCATATGACTTTATACAATTATACATACAAATAATACATATAAAATTTCAGAAATCATAATTTCAAATTAAATTACATTGCTATTACACTGGAAATATTATTACATATACTTGTAGGCGTTGCTTCGTGGAGCACTATGTCAACAAAGTACAGTTATTTTAATATGTATGGCTGTTGACCGATATATGTGCGCTTTGCATCAAGAAAAATATCAAATGCATTCGAGTAAAAAGGTGTGTCATCTGGATATTTTAGAACTTTTTTTAATGGAATGTCAATTTAAATTTCATACGTTGCAATATATTGCAAAATTTCACTTAAATCTTAATTAAAAATGAAATTTTCATTACTCTCTTTTAATAGGGCTGTGTGGCACTCTTAAGTCTAACGTGGACTTTATGCTTAACCGTTTTTGGATTTTTAGTACTACCCAAAGGTAAATTTAACTAAAAACGAGCAATTAACAATTTCACTTTTTTGACATATTTTTATTTTACGTAATAAAAAATGATCATAATTAGGATATTACTTTAACGAGACTGGCCTCCTGATATGTGAACCATTCTACAGCAAACCATCATATCGAATATTGGCCACTTGCTCATTGTATTTCCCAACCACAATGATTCTCATGTACTGCTATGGATCGAGTTTTCATGCGAGTCGTCTTCGATTAGTTATTGCCACACCTTCGGTGATGATGCAGCAAACCCGATCGATTGTGGCATCGCAAACGGCAACCGTTACACGTCCCATTGCGGTTGGAGGAAATTTACCATCACCAACTGAAAAGGTATAATCCAAAGTTTAAGTGTTAATCGCACTTATGTATATACCATCGAATTTTATTGTGATGAAAATATAATATACTGAAATCTTGCCAACGAAAATTTATTTCATTATGATTTTATGTCTAGGGGCAGAGCAGTACTAGAATAATAATTTTTGTTTAAAGTAATTCTATGTTGTGAGTAGTAATCCATATTAATCCGCAGTAATACACACTTGTGTAAATTCTAACAGCAGTGCAATGACGTTTCATGTGTACGTTGTGTATTAAATTTGTTAGGAATAAAGCGTTCGTCGTATATTGCGGATTGAAACAATTAATTCGATATTTATTAAATTAAATTCGTTATTTTCCATTTTTTAACAATAAAATATCTCATCCGAAATATACTGCGATCGCTTTATGCCTAGCAAATGTCATACACAACGTACACATGAAAGGACATTGCACTGCTGTTAGAATTTACGTAAGTGTGTATTACTATGGATTAATATGGATTACTACTCACAACATAGAATTACTTTAAACAAAAATGATTATTTTAGTACTGCTCTGCCCCTAGTTTTATGTATGTCGAATAAAGTGTTCAAAATATATAGATATATCTATACACCACTTTGATTGTCTTTTCAAGACACATACTAAGCAAAAGCCACAAAAAACTACTCCTGAACTATCCAATTAATATCGTCTTTTATATTACATGATTTCTCCACCAAGAAATAATTCTTAGGTTCCAATCAGTTAATATTAACTCATTACCTAGTTTAAGAAAATAAGCATGATGCTTTCGTTATTTGAATTTGTTCAACAGAAAACTTTGTAGACACTTAACTTCGATAAAAAAAAAACTATTCCTTATACGAATATAGTTTATTCTGTAAGTGTGTCGTCGAAGCGACCCAACAATAGTCATATAAAAAGCAATTTGTGTATTTGCACATTTAGTCATTAGTATACCAGAAAGTGAACAAAAATGATAAAATTATCACGCGTTCTTAATTTATTTTTAAGTGCTCAAAATTGTAACAATTATTTCATTAACAACTTCATTTCAAGTTCGAGCGCATTTAATTTGCATTGCACCATTATACACCTTTCCTTCCATTAACGATAGTGGTTGGTGTCTTGAAATGCGATGGCGGTGAATAATTTTAGTTTTCCGAGTCTTTTTAGACTGCGGACAATCAAAAGCAAGTGAGAAAAAAATGATACCATTTCAATACAAATATAAACTACTTCATCCACAATTAAACTAATTTAAATTGGTTTCTTGTAATCGATTTTGAATGAATCTGAACACTAATTCTGTGAAAAGAATTGAGCTCTAGGGCCAAGCTGTAAAATTGAATTGGCAATAAAAATGTGCCGTCATTTAGATGTGTTTCGTTAAGTGTCAATAAACTTGTATGAATCGACATTTTTCATGTTTCTCGTTTAGAATGTGGATCTGCAAGAGAGACGACTAAGTGGCTCTGTGTCACGTACAATGGCAGCCATGTCATTGGGATTTATAGTGATGGTGACACCTTGGAGCATACAGGAAGTAGTTGCTGCATGCACTGGATCAAAGGTACATGGCAAAAAGCCAAAGCTCATAAAGAAATCAAATTATTTTGTATCACCAGAATATTTGCACCAGATCAACTTCGAATTCGTGTTCTTTCAAATTTTATTTTGAATGTATACAATTTTAATGTGATTCATTTTCTTACTCCTTTTGAGTTTTGGAATGTGGAAATTCGTTGCGAGTCATGAGTCACCCTATATCTACTCTCTCTCTATTTATCTATATTCGAATAGCTGCCGCCGTTTCTGGAATTTTTAGTTACGTGGACTGCAATAAGCAATAGCTTTTGGAATCCATTTTTGTATTGGCTTTTGAATGCGCATTTTAGACGATTAGCCAAGGAACTGTTATTAAGGGTAATTTTATTTTAGAGCGACCATTTCATTTCCATTTTTTGAAATATAGACAGAAATAAATGTGTTGTCACGTCATTCGTTTCTCCATAGTGTTTTATTCGCAATGATAATACATCCGAGCAAAAATTACGATGTTGTAGTGTTAGTTCTGAGTGCAATTTAAATAGTTTGACAATTTCTCCACCGGGACCACCATCTCGACCAGTGTCATCACTAATACCGCCTCAAACCGACTACGACACACTCTCCGAAAAGTATTGGGGTGAAATTCTAGAACGAACGGTCAGCTCGAGTAGTTTACAAACATTACGGTAAATTATTATTGCTTTATATATACTTTTCCAATTTTTATATAAACATTATACTAATTTTGCTAAAATTTAGCTCATTCACAATATTATATGTGCGTTGTTGTGTTCTGTTTAGTAGTTTAAAAAAATAAAACCATATAATAAATTTGGTATTGATACGGGTTCAATTCAGTCGTGTTTATTCTATTTAATATATATGTGAATGAGCATCCGCTATTATCATCGACATTATCAACGCAACGGACACAAAAGCAAGTCACTTCAAATGGCCTTCAGGTGAGCTATTTAGTGTAAATAATGTCTACGATGATATCATAACATAATTGTAACGATGATATGTATATATACATTTTTGTACACAAACTAGCATCAGTTGCACTGTTTAAAAACTAGCGTTATTGATTTAAATTATCATCCACCGATGCAAACAACAAACACATCAATTAAACAAATCCATTTTAATCAATCGCATCCTGTAAGATATGAAGCCAATACGACGACGACGACAAATTTAGCGAGCTTTTCGACATCCGAACCACATCTCTGTAACCAATTTGTACACGACGTCAATTGTGCAAAGAATACAAATACTTATTTAAATCAAGCAATTAACGGAAAATCGGATATTTGAAGTGCCTTTTTATAACAAAAAAAAATGGCACAAAAAAATTGCATTTGTATCGTGTAAACATAGGTACTAAGTACATCAAAGAAAGCGTGGTCAACTTCAGTGTACAATTTCAGGGGCCCTTTAAAAAGACAAAAAAAAATTGTTTTTCAATAAATGATCTCCAGCTGATTTTTGATTTGCTATTGTTTAATTCGACAAGTTCACTTACAGATAATTTTACTTGCGCTTTTCTGATATTTTTTCTAAACGTATAAATTTGATTTTGTTAACAAAGAACGGTGTAGATGCGGTGGCGTTTAGCTGTTTCCACGTGCACATAAAAGTTATAACGATACACAGTGCATTGATATGTCAATGGTAAACGCTGTGCAAACCGTTTGCACTATACCTGATGCAAACATATCATGTACATTAGTGAGTTTACTAGTGGTAGACAAAATTGTATTGATAAAATATAAAGAGCTAGTATATAATTAGTAACATCTTAGAGTTAAATAGCTAGTCAGATATTACAAACAAAACATTATTTTGGTTATGTTTATTATGTTCTTTTTTCGAGACTTAATTAGCCTTGCCCACACTATTTTCATGGAGATCATTTTATTTCTTTATGAAGACTCGATTTTGAATCACTCTGCTCTTATTTCAACTGAGGTTGGCAGCGTCCTTATCAATTCCTTTTTTTTTCTTCAAAAATTAATCACGATGAATCAGATGATTTAACAGATTTTCCATCTCGACTTGCACAGATTCACAGGGATTCAAGAATTGATTCGAATTTTTAATCTTTGTGGTATGAATAAGAATCTTTTTCATTAAATTTGATTAAAATCAAATAGAAACATTTTGTTCGCTATTTGACGTTATCTAGAGAAATAGCTTTTTATTATGCGGCATATGTTTTCTGCAGTTATGTGATGTTCCCATATTTCACATTAACAGTGCATACCTCTTCAAATATACGACAAAGAGTAGAAAATGCTACCGCGGCAGTGCCTATTAAAAGCTACTATTTGTACACATTTCGAATGTGTGACCACAACAGTTTTTTTTACAGATAGTAACTATTGGTACTGCCTATAGGCACTGCCAATAGAGTATTACCATAGCGGTAGCGTTTTCTATTCTCTGAATGTATCATAAATCAAAAAAATGTATATACTATATATACCAATTGTACAATAATATAAATGAAAATGTGGAAACCACTCAATAGTAAACTAGTTGCAAGTTAATCATAAAAAAAATTATTCATTGTTTTTTTCGAACGATGAGCGCAGTCAATATGATTGTATTGTGACGTCACATATCTTACAGAAAAACGCCATCTGTGTAAAACAGGCTAACTACAATGTAAAAGTATAGCGAGGGGAAGGAGATGAAGAAGAAGGAGAAACAGATATACGTTTGATTTACATTGTAGTCAGCGTATTTTACGTAGATGGTGTTATATTGGTAGTGCAACTTAAAAATGTCGTTTTTTTGGTAAAAATAAAACTTTATTTCATAAATTCTGTAAATAACATGCCATTCAAAGTATTGGCCATCGGAAGCTATAACCTTTTCCCATATTTCTGGCAGCATATGGATTCCACGCCAAAAGAACTGCTCATTTTTTGAGGTTAGGAATGAATCAATCCAATTTTTGATACCTTCAATTGAAGTGAAGCGTATCCCAGACAAGGCATTCTGCATCGATCGAAACAAGTGATAGGGCTATACGGCGGGTGGGGTAAAACTTTCCATCCACTATTTTCCAAATAGTTTTTAACCGGTTGAACAATATGAGGCCGAGCGTTGTCATGATGGAAAATTATTGACTCATGTCCGGTCGCATATTCTGGCCGTTTTTCGTTCAATGCTCTCTTTAAACGGATCAATTGTGTTCGATACAGGTCTCCCGTGATCGTTTCACGCGGTTTTAACAGCTCATAATAGAGGACACCCTTCTGATCCCATCAAATACAGAGCATTACCTTAGCACAATGAATATCTTGCTTGGGCGTTGATTTTGCTCGTTTACCGCGCTTCCAATACGATTTCTTACGCTTCGGGTTTTCGTAATGAATCCATTTTTCATCGACAGTAACAATTCGATGCAAAAACGACTTCCTTTTGTGGCGCTCAAGCAGCATTTCAGACATGCAAAATCGTCTTTCAACGTCTCTTGGTTTCAATTCATATGGTCCCCAATTTCCTTACTTTTGAATGAATCCTAATGCTTTTAAACGTTTTGAAATGGCTTGGTGAGTCACTCCTAATGATTTTGCAAGTTCTTCTTGAGTTTGACACGAATCTTGATCGAGTAATACCTCCAATTCTTCATCTTCAAACTTTTTTGGCTGTCCAGGACGTTCTTTGTCTTCTGTGTCGAAATCACCACTTTTGAAGCGCGCAAACCAACGCTGACACATTCTAACGTCTACAGCATAGTCAGGATAGGCTTCAGAGAGTAAACGATGTGCTTCAGTTGCATTTTTCTTTAAATGGAAGAAGCAAATTAAAACTTCCCGCAAATGATCTTTTGTTGGAACGAAATTCGAAATTTTGAACGCAATAAAAAACTTGTGTGTATAAACTTGTATTCACTTTGACAGATGGAATTTAATAAATAGTTTTTTTGACGCTCTTTAAGATACACTTGTTGTCACTGTCAAAAAAATGGCGCGTATGATACATAAGAAGTTGACACAAATACGACATTTTTAAGTTGCGCTACCAATAAGTATCTGTCCATATTTTTACGTATTGGTGTACCATTTATTTATTATATGTTGATGTGGGCTTATCTACGAATTTGCAAGACTGGCCAAACCGTTCACATCCTTCGATACTGTCGATGCAAATATACGAAAGATGTTTCGTTTTGATATGTTTGCATACAACATCGTATAATATTCATCACGCAGTGTGCATATTAAAAAAGAGTTTGCAGAGGATAAAGCTTTTTTTATATCATTAAGCCGATAGTAAATTACCATTGGTAATGAATAAGTCATATAAATATTGATGGCCAAGCGTTCAGAAAGACATACATTTATGCGAGCAATTGAATGATGCATGCATCATTTGATGCGCATCGCTAGTGCTTTCGTTGTGCATTCGGAGCACTTCGTGCGCTGCCGAAGATCCGAATGTATGGCGACAGCACAATCGATGCGCATCAAATGATGCATGCATCATTCAATCGCTCGCATAAATGTATGTCTTTCTGAACGCTTGTTGATGGCATACTGATAGCAATTTGAACTCTTGAACAGAACTATCACCGGAAATGATCAGACTTGATATTTCAGTTTTGATTTGACATTATAAAGATACATGTTGCATAACGTGTTCATTTGCATTTTTAATAATACCCATTTATATCTGCTCATGCAATGCATGATATATTGGCTTTTTCCACATTATCTAACTACATATGAAAGCATGTTCTTTATAAAGTATGAGATTACAATTTTCGAAAGTTACTTTTTCTGCGTGGATCTTTAAAATCGGTATAATCTTGTCTTAGTTAGCGCCCAAATATCTTCGATCGATTGATTTCAAATTTGCCACGAAACACAACATTTACATAGTATGCATTTTTTTAAAATGTTCATAAGTTTATAAAATTGGAGTACATTTATTAGAGAAGGACACTCTAGCGTTTAGCGCATTATTCGCGTATTGCCAATCTCTCATTCGATTTTTTTTTATCAGAACCAATTTTTATCAAACCGTTCATATTATATACAATAATCTTGAATAAAATCGAAATGGCAAAAAATAGTTCAAATTTTTTCTTTAAACTCTAGCACATTTTCAGCGATTACATCTTTGCAGAGTATTGCTCAGCGCTGCTGCCATCCACAGCATATTAAAATATCTTGCTGAGAATGCGTCGTCCGTCGCATGCGAAGGTACGTAGCAGTTTATACATCACAGCGAACAAGAATGAATGCATTGTTCTCTTCACGATTATATGACTCAAAACATTCCAAACGATTGAATAGAGAACAATGCATGTATTGTTGTTCGCTGTGATGTATAAACTGCTAAGTACCTTCGCATGCGACGGGCGACGCATTCTCAGCAAGATATTTTAATATTCTCTGGATGGCAGCAGCGCTGAGCAATACTCTGCATCTTTGATTTATTTAAGCATAAAAATGCTAAATTTCTTTTGGTTTACTCAAAGAATGTGATAGACAAAAATCAAAGAACAATCAAAACAATTTTCAAGTGTCAAGAATGTGGCTGAAGTAATTCTAACAACAACAACAACAACAATATATGGAATATTTTTTTCGTTTTCATTCAAGTCACATATTTTGGTGTTTTCATAGTAAAAGTATTTGACAATCAATTAACATCTAATTCAAAAGTATGAATTTGCTGCCAAAAATTAAAGTTAAAATCACTTTAAGCAACAAAAAAATTATTTGCATTCTAATCATAAGAAGATCTTCTAAGATAGTCGGTACAAGTGTGCCAATTTCAGATACAGTGCTGATTTTCAGTAAAAATAACCATAAATTGATACACGGTATTGTATGTCACAAAATAGTGTATTATGGCCTTTGATGGCAGCAAGCATAATGTTCCCAGTGTAGAACAAATGTAGGCTGCAACGCCAATTTTTTTATACATATAAACAAATCAATAGCTCAATTGAATCACTTAGAATAAATCAACATTACTAGATAAATGTCTTCAAATGCGTTACTGAAAAAAGTCAGTCAGCAAAAGCGTTATAAAATATATGGACGATGTCACGCTTTTGTTGGCGAACTTTTTTATATAACGCGTCACATACAGTTTTTGACACTATTACTGACGTGCTTTTTTCTATAACGCATTTGAAGACATTTATCTAGTAATGCTGATTTATTCTAGGCGGTTCAATTGTTCTACATTCCAAACACTTCGTTCAGAATTATAACGTAGAATCGCGGCACTTATTTGTGACTCTACTCTCTATTTATATTATAAAAAAACATCGCGTCCAGGCACATATTTACACTGTTACTTCCATTCAATAAAAATAAGCTTTTAGAGCTGAACCATCCGTTTTTTTTTTACATTTATTTCATCCATGTTTCCTCACTTACACTAGCCCAAAACTCTGATAATTTCATGTACACACAGAAAGAAAAAATGTGGTAGTTTTAATTCAAGTTTGTTATATTTAAT